AAAAAATCATGAAATTTGAATAAAAATCTCTTAAAAGTCTTTTTGAAGGCCTCGATTGCTAAAAAGGGCAAAAGTATCATAATCATGGAGAAGGATGAATTTTGYGTTAGCGTGTCAAAAGTCTACAGCTTCTTTTATTCTAAAGTCACTTAGTGTTTCTAGGAATGGGTTAAGAATGAGGACCCAGAGCAATGGGCAACCTCTAAAAGGCAGAGAAACCAACAGAAATTTTGGCTGTATGGAAGGGCATTGAAAGACAAGAATAAGACTCTAGTTTATCAGAACATTAAATAGGACTSGTAGAAAATTTAGCCAAATGCTCAGCCTGGTTACTTATTAAGACATTCTGTGAAACCCGAAGCTGTGCAGAATGAAAGGTTAAGATGCTAAGCAGAGATCTTAGATCTCTGGCTCAGATTCAAAAATTCAAATTCTCTGAAAAGGAGAATGAATTTTGAGGTCAGAGTTTAGATACTGAGGATACAAAGATTCGAGCTGAGGAACTGCCACTGGGGACAGATCCAGTGAGCACAGTGGCTGTCAAATGGAAAACCCCTGGAAGGCCACATCCTGTAAGCGGGGAGACGTACAGCAATAGTAGTCTTAATGAAAACCACAAYCCAGTCTTTCAGTAAGCTCAGGCCCTGATTGTAGTAAGGTCCACTCTGCCTCATTAGAGGAAAGTGTGAGCCCTTTGCCGAGGAAGTTCAACATCCAGAATTTCTACAGTTTATCATAGAGTTCAGCATTCAGCAAAAAACTACCATGCATGCCAATAGAGTGGACCAAATTACCAGAAATCAGGGAGGGGGACAGAATAGAAACAGAGCCACAGAATTAGAGAAATACAAATTAAAATTACACTGAGATTCCATCTCACTCCAGTCAGAATGGCAAGTATCAAGAATACAAGTAATAATAAATATTTGTGAGAATGTGGGGAATAAGGTAYACTCATACCTTGCTGGTGGGACTGCAAATTGGTGAAACCACTCTGGACAGCAATATGAAGATTCCTCAGAAAACTTGGAATGGAACCATCATTTGACCTAGCTATCCCACTCCACGGCATATACTCAAAGGACTTAAACCCAGCATACTACAGTGATACAGCCACATCAATGTTTATAGCATCTCAATGCACAATCACTAAGCTATGGAATCAACCTAAGTGCCCTTCAACAGATGAATGGATAAAGAAWATGTGGAATATATACACAATGAAATATTACTCAGCCATAAATAAAAATTAAATTATGGAATTTGCTGGTAAATGGATGGAACTGGAGACTATCATGCTAAGTGAAATAAGCCAATTCCCAAAACCAAAGACCAAATGTTCTCTCTGTTATGCGGATGCCAACACAAAATAAGGGAGTGGAGAATAAAAGTTCATTGGATTAGACAAAGGGGAGTGAAGGGAAGGGAAGGGAAATGGGAATAGGAAAGATAGTAGAATGAATTCAACATTACTTTCYTTTGTTCATTTATGTACATGTGACCAGTGTAACTCCAAATCATGTACAACCACAAGAATGGTAAAGTTATACTCCATGTATATCAAAATACACTCTACTATCATGTATAATTAAAAAGAACAAATGTTAAAAAGTAAAGAGAGAGGAGGAGAGCCACAGGAATTTAAATCATGGATTTATCAGATAAGAACTTAAGAACTTTCAAGTAACAGTTTCATTGGGGAAAAATATGAAAAAAACAAAAGAAAAATTCCCCTGATAATTGAATCCATTAAAAATGTATGAGGCTCTGGGTTCAATCATCAGCACCTTCCCTCTTCTTTAAAAAAAAAAAAGGATATTTAAGAATTTYATAGGTTTAGCAGAAGAGATAAATGAATTGCAATATAGATCAAAAGAAAATATCTAGTCTGAAGAGCAAGGAGGAAAAGGGCTGTAAGACACAAGAAAGAATAGGATATATATGAAATACTGAAAAGTTTTTAACATCCAGATTTTGGAGTCTCATAAAGAGAGGGAGAAATGGGACAGAAATATTACTTGAAGATATAACATCTGAGAAATTTCCAAAACTCACCAAAGACACCTACCCACAAATTCAAGCAGCTCTGTAAATGCCAAGCAGGTAAATAACAAAAGAATACCACACTACGTACATATAGAAGACCTACTGAAAACCAAAATAAAGAGAAAAAAATCTTAAAAGTAGCTAGCAAAGAAGAAATGGAGGAGAAATTACTTTCAAAAGAGCAATAAAACAAGGCAGCGGACTTTTTAACAGAAATGGTACAATATAGAAAATACTGAAATTATATCTTTTAAGTCCTAAAGAAAAAGTTCTAGATGCATTTCAAAGAAGAGAAAGTTTATAAGCTACATAAGAACTATATACTTATTTGAAAATATAGCAGATATAAAATACAGCATAGATATTTAAGACAGGTTAAGACATAAAAAGTATAGCATGAATGGTCTAACTTACATTTAATCAGAGTTACAGAAGGAACACAGACTACATTGAAAGAGACAATGGTTAATAATTTTCCAAAGTTGACCAAAGACATCATTGTACAGATCCAACAAGTCCCCCCAAAAAACTCAAACAAGAAGAAAAAAAAAMMAAAWWAAAWTTTWAAAAAACCTGTCTTGAGCACCAGTCATTTTCTGTTATTTCTCTCCAAGCTCTATTCTCTCTTGTTACACTGGAGCTGGAACTCTGTAAACTACATTTCCCAGATGCATTTGCCAGTTGGTTTCCTTTTAAGTTCTGCCCTTAGAAGCCACTAGAAGGAGATTAGATGGGAGTTGCCCTAGACCCAGTGCTTTTTTGTTTTTTTATGAGAAAAAAACCAAGATTTAGGGATTACTTATTACTGTAGCATAAGCCTATCTTATGCTAACAAAATACAATCAAAAAAATGTTAAATAGACTTACACTTCATACTACAGATGAAAATGAAACTAAAAGACAAGGACTCTATAATTTGAGAAATTAGGAAATATATGCATGATCTTGGGGTGCAGAAGAATATCTTAAGACATAAAAAGCAAAAAAAAAACCCTCCTAAAAAGCATAAATCAAAAAGGAAAAGCTTGATAAATTTGGCATAAAATTAAGAGTTTCTGTTTATCAAAAGACAGAGCTAAAAGAGTAAAAAGATGAACCACAAARCAGATATTGGGAAAAGATAATGAACAAAGTGCTTATACGCATAATATATTAAAAATTTCTATGAGGCAAAAAGAAAAAGATTTAAAATGACTGATAAATATGTGAAAGGTGCTCATTATTAATAATCATGTGAAAATAGATGATGGCATACATGTCCCGGCTCAAGCAGTRCCACTGTAGAACAAAGTACCACACACTGGTCTCACAATCCTAGAAGCTGGTAAGTCCAAGATGGAGATATGGGCTGATKTTTGTCTGGTGAGAGCCTGTCTCGTGGTTCATAGTAAGCCATCTTCTTCCTGTGTCTTCACATGGCAGAAAGGGGGGGAGAGAGAGCTCTCTGGGGTCTCATTTATAAGACCACCATCCAGGAGGGCTCTACCATCCAGATGTAATTTCTTCCCTAAGGCCGCAACTCCTAACATCATCCCACCTCGGGTTAGGTTTTCACATAGGAATTTGGATAATGGGGGAGGCCAACATTCAGTCCWCACCACACTAGCTAAAATGCAAACACATTTGTCATGACAATACCAGATATTGGAATATGAGGRGTAGCAAGAACTTGAATCACTTCTGGTGAGAATGCGTAAAACCACTTTGGAACATATTTTATGGTAAAGTTGAAGACACACCTAATAAAAGTCCACATTTCTACTCCTAGCTATATGCTCTAAAAAAAAAAATGTGTTTATACATAATGGAAATCATATATAAAAATGCTTATCACAGCATTATTCCTAGTATACAAAGACTGAAACAAACTCAAATGCATCAACAGTAATTGACTATACTATGGTATAGTTTTACAATATACAACAAAACTGAATGAACTATGAAAATTAAATTACCTCACAATACAGATGAATCTTAAAACAATGTCAAATAAAAGAAGCCAAACACTCCAAAGTATATAGTCTGATTCCACTAATAAAAATCTCAAAATCAGTGAAAATTAAATAGCTACATATTCAGAGATTTAGGCAAARGCAGTAAAACTACAAAGATAAGCAAGGAACAGTTAACTACCATAAGTCTCTAGAGGATGTTACCACCAAGGTGCCAGATGCAGAAAAAGAGATGGGATCTGGGAGGGGCTACCAAAGGTACTGATAGAAAAGTTCCTGTCTCCAGCTGGGGGTTGGTGACACAAGTGCTCTGCTCCCCTTCACATTCTAAAGGATACATCCCTACACCATGAACAATTCTCTGTGTACATCTTAAATTTTTCAAAATTTAAAAATAATAAATTTCAAATAAAGACAGCATCACAATCCTGAACATACATGTTCTCTCCATTATCTGTAAGACAAGGAGAAACCATTTACCTTGACTTGCCAGAAAAGGACATTTAAGTTATCACAAGTGTTTAAACCCAGTCTAGAACCTGTTATGGTTCAGATATGAAGTGTCCTCTAAAAGCTCATGTGGGAGACAATGCAAGAAGGTTTGGAGGTGAAATGATTGGGTTATGAGAGCCTTAACCTAAATAGTGCATTACTTCCCTAAAGTGGACTAACCGGGCAGTAACTGTAGGCAGGTAGGATGTGGCTGGAGGAGATAGGTTATTAGGGGCGTACCTTTGGGGTTTATATTTTGTTCCTGGTGCAYAGAGTGCTCTCTGCTTCCTGATTGTCATGTCCTGATCTGCTTTCCTCCTCCACATCCTTCCACCATAATATTCTACCTCCCCTTAGGCCAAGAGCAATGGATTCAGGCACTGTGAATACCAAATAAATGCTCTTTATCCTCTAAAATTGTTCTTGTCAGGTCATTTGGTCACAGCGACAAAARAATTCACTGAAACAGAACCCAAAGCTAGGGTTTTGCTGCTGAAACATTCATCACCCAGACTCGGCCTGCACCAAGGCAACACATACAAAATGGGGAATATGGTAAAAGCTCCCAGGTCTTAAAAGAATATTCCAAATAAGGCTCTTTAAGGCTTCCGGCAGGGATATTTTATTTTTTTGGTTAAAATCACAACTGATAAAAATAYCATAAAAATAAACATGTAAACAAGGTATCAGAACTTTGGTTCAATGAAACATCTCACATCTAAAACATCTGAGGTACAAAGGCACCTTGCTAGGTGCTAGACAGCCTGGCTCTGCTGCAGCTGTTCCAATGCTATCTTTGGGGCCAGAGAGGGCACAGGCTGAATGCAGAGGCTGGGACTGAGGTCACGCAGGACCCAGCCCAGTACACTCTCTCCACGCCAAACAAACATTGACTCTTCCAAAGACCCGCCTGATAGGAGTTGGAACATACAAAGGGATCTGTCATGCTGAGCTGGAAGATGACTTGGGCTGTGGGGCCAGAAGGAGAAGGGCAGAGAAGGATGTCAGTCAACTTCTGTTGTTCCACAAGGCCTCAAGAACTCCTGTCCTCGTTCATGGAACCACTTATTGGAGACTGTGAACAGAAAGCAAGTATGTTACAATCCCATTGGTCAGTTCAGTAGCCAAAATTAATATCTGACCCCTGCACTGTGCTCTGAGAAACAGACTTGAGTAAGATGTGGTCTCRGGCCTCAAGTTGTTCATGGGCTATTAAGGAAGATACATGAATAAACAGGTAACTGTACAAAATTCTGCCAGTGACATGATACCTGTGTGGAGGTTGTCATGGGAACAGAGTCAAAGAGCATGTGACCAATTAGGGAACAGGAGACCTCAGGGCTGGAATATGAAGCTAAACGTAACACCAAGGTTGGGTGCAGAAAGTGGGAGCAGGAGGAGAAAGTCATGAAGGCAGGGATCACTCTGTCTTGCGTCAAAGACCTCAAACAACCTGATGTTACTAGAAACTAGAAGGTAGAGGCTGAGAGGTTGGGGAGGAGGAAGCCTGTCCACACTGCAGAGGACCTGGCTATCAGATGCTTCATGCCCTGTGGATGTCTGTGTGCTGTGGCASCAGAGCAGCAGAGCTAGAACAGCATTGTCACCTAATGCTGCCTCAAATGCACACAAACCACAATTCTGTTCCTCAAACATAAGCTCTCTCAWGACAAAGAAAAAATTATTTTAGTGGACCACTGAAGTCATAGAGTTGTTTTTTTTTTTAATTTGTAGTTGTAAGTAGACAGCATGCCTTTATTTGTTTATTTTTATGTGGTGCTGAGGATCGAACCCAGTACCTCACATGTGCAAGGCAAGCRCTCTGCTCTGCCCCTGAGCTACAGATCCAGCCCATCATAGAGATTTTTAAATAAAATTTAACTTAAAAGAAAGCAAGCACATGTACTTTTTTGAACAAACTATCTATAAGGCTTATAGTGAAAAATAGCATATATAGTTAAATCATGAATTTTAATTAAAAATATACAGTGTTTACATCATTATGTATGTCACTTTAATGCTACATTTGAGACATTTAGTAGATTACAGTTAAAGTTTCTTTCTTGTACAACTTTTTCCTCCTGAAGTCAGCAACTACCTCATTTTCTTTTTCTTACTTTTTTTTTAAGCTATTACTATTTACCCCCCAACTATTTACTCCCCCAAACTCRTGTGACCACCTTTGGACAGCTGTTTCCAGAATAAGGGTCAAATTCAGTGTCTAGAGTTTGGTCCCAGCCTCTAGCCTTGTCTCTTGTCTCCTTTTCCTCAAGTGACAAGGACAGCAGCCCCCATACCTATGATGCTGGATGAAGCCTGTGCCTCACCTGCCTGATAGGAGGAAGGGTTTTCTCTTCTCTGTTTCCAGCTCTCTCCTCTGCTCCCTCAGAGCCCTGGYCAGAGCCTGTTCTTCTGGAGAGCTGCCTTGGACTTATAGTGCTTGTAGCTCTCTGGGCATCTGAGAGTGTTCTCAACCAGCTATCTCAGTACTTAACCAAGTGGACTGCTACAGGACTGAATGGTACTACCGCTTAGCAAAACAAACCCCTCAGAAGGGAGACAGTCTTGGCTATGTCTCAGCAGTTGTGTCCCAGTTGAGCCTAAGGCCCACCATCAAAGCTCTGGCTGAGAACACCACAACCAAGAGCACCCTCAAGCCACTCACCCCACTTGCAGCCCACGAGCACGGGGCAGGCTGCATGCCTCGTTCGGTAGTCACCTTCTCCGCTCCTCAAAAGGTTGTACCAAAATACAGCTGTGCCCTGGAAAGAGATGTCCTATCAGAACATATCCTTAGAGACTGGGCTCAGAGACCTGACCCCGAGCACCCTAGAACCCCTGTCCTGAGCAAAAACACCTTCAATTCTCCTGTGTACAGAGGAATGGGGTTCTGGGACTCCAAAAATGCCTACCTTTCATGGTGGGTGGATGTTTACAAACCCATCTGACTTCCCTCCCTATTCCTTCTCCCCAGTTAGAAGCTGGGACCAMAGGTCCAAAGTACAAGGAGGAAGGGGCTAAGGCACATCACAGTGATGGTCAAGTAGGCCTGGCAATGGGACTGGAGGACACAGTCAGGTCTAAAACCTCTGACCCACAAGAATCAGAACTTACCTTCTTAGGCCAAATTGCAGCCCCCAGATCAGGGAAGACAGTGGCACCACCAGCTTCTACATCACTCATCTGGGAACACAAGGCATAGAGTTTGGCCTCTACCCAAGCATCTCAGAGCAAGTGAGTCACAAGAATCATGACAAAGTACAGAGATCGCCCTCCTGTGAGCATGAGCGGCACTRCTGGGAGGCTCTGCTCATGGCCAGCCCTTCAAACAAGACTCTTTCTCCATCTATTTACTCCCTGTGGTTCACCAGCATGGCCTCCACGCCACAATGTTCAAAAGCAGGAGACCAACATCCAGGCAAGCCCTGAATGGGAGCAATTTGAGTCTATAATCAGAACATTCCTCCTTGAATCCCCACCCAGCTTGGGCCCAGCAAACTGCCTGACAAGAAGTTCCTGCGGCTTCCACTAGCGGGTGAGGACCTGTATGGRCTGTTTCTCTGGCTCCTAGCTTGTTGCTCTAGTCTAATCCTTGCTGTCCCACAAAAGCTGCCCTCTAGGGGGAAGGGGGACACTGAGACTCTAGAGGCCCTGCTTTCCCCAACAGTGAGCCTCCAAACAAACTGCACACAAGATCCAGAGCAGCAAGACTGCCTTCACACCCACAGAGGGTGCCTCGACTCCTGCCAAAGCACCACTCCTTCCTCATCTGGCTCTGACTTTTTTACCTAATAAAAATTGGAACTAAAATATATTTCCACAGGACACAAACCAGACCGACTGAGGAGCACTCAATGGACACATGCTAAATTAATAAGATGAAACCCCCCCCCGACTCCCCCAGTCCTGGGGATCAAACTCAGGGAAACCCCAAGGCCTGCCCGTCTCATTAGCCTCTCCTTCCAGACACACTGGCCCTCTTCTTTTTTCCAACATCTCAAGCCCCCTTGCTCTTCTGGGCTTACACACATTCTCTTCTCTGCCAGAAACACGTTCCACCAGTTAATTTCCATTCAATCTTTAAGTCTCAGCCAACCTGTTACTTCGTGAGGGAGGCTCTCTCTGAACCCCAAGCCTGGGCCGCTTCTACACAGCACTTGTTCCCATAGTAACTAAATAACCATTTCTCTTATGTTTAAGTCTCCCATGTTAGACCTCAAGCACCACAAGTGACTCTTTCTCCACCAGCTTATCCACATGTCCTTGCTCACCAGCTTATCCACAGCATAGCCCCCAGCATGCAATAACCACACAGTTCAAACTTAGAAGGAAAAAATAAACTGTCCCTTAAGTTCCTTGACAGCCTCTATGCCTCTTTAGGGCAGGCTCTTGCAGCAAGGTGGGGAGAGGGCCCCCCAGCCTGTAGGGAAACAAAGGCTGCTTTTAGCTAAGAGCACCTTGTGACCACATCCTCACTCTGCTGCCAAGGGAGGATCCCTCCAAAGCACTTATCCTGAAAGTCCAGAGTGGCAGTGGGCCCATCAAATTGGAGGCAGAATATGCTACCACACACATGCATCTTGAGGAGATTGTGCTCAGTGAAATAAGCCCAACACACACACACACACACACACACACACACACACACACACACACACACACACTCTCTCTCTCTCTCTCTATTCTATGAGTTCATTTACTCGAGGTTATGTGAGTCATCAAAACCAGAATAGAGGTTGACAAGGCTGTGGGAGGGGACCCGGGAATTACTGTTCAACAGGAACAGTGTTTCAGTTTTACAAGAGGAGAGGAGTTCTGGCGATGGAGAGYGGTAATGGTTACACAACGTTATGAATTTAATACCACTGAAGTACACTTTTAGAGATGATTAAGATGATAACTTTTATGTTCTGTGTATATTATCACAATAAAAAAATGGAGGGGGATAGGAGCCAGGGATAAAGTCATAGGGCTGGGGGCTACACGAWGAGAACAGAGACCAACTTTCTCTATTCCAGCCAAGAAGGGCACTGAGGGACAAAAGGACCATTAGCCAACAGTGGGTGGCATCAGCTTTGAGGAGAGTGGGATGTAAGAGAGCTTTCTGGACCCACGGTCCCCTTAGGGCCCATAAGCTGCACATCATACTCACGTAGTTTAAGAATGTGGCCACACGGTTCCCAGTCCCTAAATGCTTGAAAACATCTTGTTCATGGTTCTATAAAATTAAGTGAGAGTGGACAAGTGGGCCTGGACCCAGTACTTACATAGTTAAGAAACGTCGCTAACCTATTCCCCTCCGTTTTGAGGCCGCTGTCAAAAGGTCGCTGCAACAGACAACAACTTTCACCCAAGTTTGCAATCAACTTACCCGCCACCCAAATGATTGGGGCCAAAGGGACAGGGGAAGGTATTAAGTGTGTGTTCCCCAAAACAGCCTGGAACAAAGGACAATCCAACATAGGAAATTTTGACCAGGACAAGGAATAATTTTCACAGAGACCTACTGAGGTCCTTTGCTCTAGAATCAAAGCAAAGAGTAACAGAGTTAGGGCAGGCTCCACTGGACTCCACAGACCCTGTGGCTCCAGACTGGGCTTCACCAGTAACAAAGAGTCTCCCCTGGTGAGGCAGAAAGGGGGAGAGAGGGGGGGTGATATGGAGGCTGAAATGCTGCTAGAAGCTCCAGCCTCCTCAAATCAATTAGAGTGGGGCCCTCTGAGACCACCAGTCTTACCCTAGAGAAGTCAAAGTGCGGCTCGTACTGTCCTCCCATTCCATAATTTGCAACCTGGTGAGAAATTTTAACAGCATGGATTTTGTGAGCAGCATAAACAGGCTCTTATCAGAGATACCACATCCCCAGGCCTCCAAACAATCATATGCCCTAAGAGCATCCCCTCTCAGGTAGAAGACAAGCATGTCTCGCTGGCACAGGCAGAACGAGTGTTGCAAATATGTCCAYAGCTGTGTCCAAGAGGATAAATGGTTTCCTGAGAAGAAGAAGATGGCTGACCTGCAGGCTGCCACTGTGGARAAGCACCAGCCCTTCAAGAATACTCAGATGGCTCAAGAGGGAGCTCTTCTTGAGGCAGGCACTGGTCTGGACCCAGTTTGTTTGGGAGGAAATGAGAAGGTGATCCAAGAAAAAAGCCAACACCAAACTCAAAGTGGAGGTTTTTTGAGRCAGAGTCTTACTGTATTRCCCAAGCTGACCTCAAACTCTTAGGCTCATGCCATCCTTCCGCCTTAGACTCCTGAGTAGCTGGAACTACAAGCACATGTCACTATACCTGACTTGAGATTTTTCTTTTTTTAACACTAGTTTTGGAGCTACTCTGAGTCTGGTATTGCTCCTGCCTCCTTTTCTAAGCAGCAGTTCTTGGTCAGGCCAAGTGGGGCACTGCACTGAGCACTTCTGCACCCAAGTGAAGCAGCAGGGCATGGTGACCAGTTACCAGGTGGCCAAGAATTGGTATATAAAACCTCAGCACTCCCAGAATAAGCCTGCACCTGAACCACAGCAGCCTCTGCAACTACGGGGTGTCACTAATTGGATTAGAAATTGCAATGCCTTTGTGAATAGTATGTAGACACAATTTAACATCCAAGATCACAAAGTTACTTTCGCTTCAGTAGTTAAAATAAGAGACAAGGTTTAAAAGAAAATGCATAATTTGACATGATCCCCTTGATAAATCAAGTGGCACCACAAATCTATCTAGGAATAGCTAGCTGGTCACTGTTTTTTACTGAAACCCTAAAAACCTTTAGGGCTCAGCCACTAGTTCTCACAAAGTCAGTATCTTTTGTGTATCTTTTTTGGCCATTCTAACAGTCAGGAGAGARATGCTGCAAAACTGGCAATAGTGGAGATCTTCAGATATGGGAGGAAAAGGGAGGATGGACATTACAAGAAAGAAAATCCTCCAGTTGGAGCACAAATGATGTTTGCTAAATATGATGAAATGCAAAATCTGGGCAGTGTATCTTTCCATGTCTACAAAAATTAAAAATTTTGATGTAAATAACCATGGCAGAATGAAAATACGCTGTCATTCCACTGCTTCAGCCTTCAAGACTTCTGCACCAGGATTACCTGAGATTCTGTCAAGAACATAAGGAGGCCTGTGCAGCAGGTACTTGGGGCTGGAGGCACATTTATTTATTTTAGGGAGAGAAGTGCTAGAGAGAGTCTATGAGGAAATGCTTTTACATATTTTCACAAATTTATCCTTTCTTGGTACCCATTCTAGACAAGACCTTAAAGAAAATTCTAGACATGCTGTGGCTGGCATGCCAATGAACTCCAGAGATTTCCATCCCTGCTTGTTGTGGCGGCCGCAGAGCATGACTGCACTTTCTAACTCATCTGCTCCTTGGATGAAGTGACTAAACTTTGAGATCCCAGACAATGAAAGAAGTTGCACTGCAATAGCTGGCTCACCATTTAACAGTATGGACAATTATATTTGATCAGTGCTAAAACCACTGTCCCTTCACTCTTTAATATGGTCCTCAAACAAATACAGAAGTCGTGGGAGTTTCTGGGTTTGCAGCAATCAAATTCACCATCCCTGCACACTCAAGTCCCCAGATTCATTCCTTTAATAACAAGAAATTATATATCAAAACTGATCCCTATGAGAAGGTATGCATATGAACATTTTAGATTCCTTGTTGCCATAAGGTAGAGTCAGCCATTTGAAAGACACGGGTATTTATGATGCTGACCAGAGTGAAGGAAAAAATAAAATTAGGAACCACCTAGTAGGCTAAGACATCATCAAGCCAGTAGTCTTGAATCTTGGAGAATCCTGAAGGTGTAGCATCTCCTCCTCCATCAGACAGGTCCTCATCCCATTCATAAGAATGCCTTAATTGCCCTTTTGCTCCCAAAAGGTCTAGAGCAAACACATCAACTAAAGCTAAGAGTGTTGACAGGTAGCAGAAGGGCCAGCTCTTTTCCAAAAGACTGTAGCATTTCCAAAGGGGCCCTGTTGCATAGGCTGTTGCTGGTGCCTAGGTATTTATCATATCACAAGCAGTACCTGTAGAGTGGGTACTCAGGAACAGGTGCTGAAATCAAGGTTCCTGTTCCCCAGACCAGGTAAGATCAAAGCTTTCACAACACCACTGGCTGTCAAATAAAATGCCATAATAGTTCCCAGAGGAAGAATGCAAACAAAATCAGTATCTCAGTCACTTGGGAACTGTGGGCTTGATCTTCCAGAAGAGCCCTGACTCTAAGGGGCCCTCCACTGAGAATTGAGATATTCAAACACCATTTGATTAAGTTAAAACACAAGAGAGGCCAGACAGATGAAGCCAAGGTTGGAGCAGAGAAGGCAGTCCATTGCGAGAGGCTGCTGTCTTCCACGGTTGAAGGTGAGACAGAGGTACAGAGAGTGCAGACGGGAAGCCAGCCAGGACAGCAATAGAGGCACAGGTCCTGTCCACTCAGCCCTGTGGTCCCTGGTACAGAATCAGCCAATCAAGCAGACTGCTGTCCTTCAGGACCAGGAGAGCGCTGAACACTGGCTCTGATGTGAAAGAAGTAGTGGCAGAAATCTTAAAACAACAACAAAAACCTGCTCCAAGAAGACTTAAGTCAAGATAATGTCAACAGTGACACATGTAGTGTGTGAAGAGCTCCTATYTTCTTGAAATGGTGGTTCTCTAGTGCATAGGAGGCAAAGTAGGCAATGTGGCAGAAGTCCCCTGTTGTGTTGCTGGTCTGCAGAACTTATTTTAAACCCATACAACACTAAGTTGAGTTGAACTGAAAAATTATGAAAAAATTTTCACAAGACTGTTTTACAAATACACTGTTTATAATCTTGTGTTTTTGAAAACTCTGTTGGATTTCACACAAATCCATTATGATGACCTTTGAAACCAGTTTACTGATTGCAGATACAGCTTCCAAAAGAGGGGGGRAAATGTGAATGCTATTTTGCTTGGATATGTCCAAGTCAAGGTTGAGAGAATCCTTCCCAAATGACCTCCAACTAATATTCTAATGAAATCTATAGCTGGTCAGACCCACATGCCAGGCTGAAAGATGAAGAATGCTAGCCTTAAATGCACAGACACTCTAGTCAAACAGAGATCCAGGGACTCTAGAAAGAGGCCAGTGAAACTTCTATGATAGTTTCTCAGGTCATAATTTTATAAAACAACCCAAGAGTTCTGATGTTCAGAAGACAGAAAGCCAGTATTGACTTGAACTTGGTGCCCACAAGAACACACTGTGAAGGAGCTCCACCCAGAACCTCTGAGCATGCTGCCACCATGTATCTTCCTGATCACCTTGGAAATGAAGGCAAGAAGCCAGAATCTCAATGAGAGCACTTGGACAAGAACATTCCTCCTTCACCAGCAAACTAGTTCAGGCCTCTCATTTTTCCTAGCAACATATCACAGAACACTTTATCTTATCTCCAAGTGCAAATGACTAGGACACAGAATCATAACTTTGGAAGATAACTCTAGGATTTGAACTTAGGTAGTGAAGAAGCTATGATTAAGGCTGCTATGACTACTACTGATCCCTCACTCCAGCATGGTACCTGAGCACACAATAGATGCTCAGCTAATATTTGTCCATATCATGTTAACTGCTGAATACAATAGATATTATGAATTCTGGTTTCCCCAGCACAAGAGCACTCCAYGTTCACGGCATAGTGCAGTTATACTGTTTAGTAAGCAAGCCTTCCTAGACCCAGTGTGTGTACCTGGAAAGACCATCTAGCCAGATATCCCCCCTTCCCAACTTCTATGGTCTCAAGGACCAGCTTGTACCTGTAATAATTCTGCAGTCTTTACTGTTAACCCTGTGATGTGCTGCATCCGACGATTTACTCGAGCTACAACAGGGTCATCATCTTCTTCTAGCCATGAGCTGGGACAAAAGAAGAGAACAGGTAAAAGAAAATGGGGAAGTCAGACTTAGATGAGGTCCTGTGCTCTCTCCCAGCATCAACACCAGCACTAATAGGCAGAAGAGGGTGAGTGCTATAAGAGGGTGTGGAGATGCCAAGCCCCCCTCCATTGGGTAGGTACTGGGAAGCCTGTGAGTTGGGGCTTGAACAGCACCCCCACACGTACCACCACCATTGCTTACCTTTTGGAAACCCTGTAGCTGGCAACAGTGAGGACACCGGTCTTGGGATCACGAACTGTGGCTCGTGCAAGCTGGAGGTCAGGAAGACAGGGCAGACTTACCCTTTTTGGCCTTGTGTTTTTCTCAGAGAGCACTGGAACCAAATCAGCCATCCCCATTGGTGGGAGAAACAACTTTGTAGGCAGTGAYTCTAGCCAAGACCCCATGACCCTGTAGGCCAGGCCAGAACAGGAATCTGAGGCCACCAACTTCCCTCTCTGCTATCAGACCCTGGCCACTCCCCTGCTTGGTCACTACTCATTCCTCCTCCTCCCAGGTCTGTGCTACCTGCAGAATTATACCTATGGATTTCGCTTTGTCYACCTCTGTGTCTGCCTAGACAGCCTCCCTCTTTGCCAGACCCATAGATCATCCTGAATAAGCACAGCTGAGCTTAGCTGCTCCCACCACATTGGGACTGTGCCATGATCCCTGAGCCTCCCCTTGTGTGCCCCTCTTGACTTGGTCAAGTTCTATATGCTTCTGAACCTCAGTGGCCTCCTGTGCCAAGAAACCCATGCAAACACACTCCTGATGCACCCCCTCACACTGGGCTCCCACGCTGCAAGAGGAGAGACAGACGCACAGTTTTCACTCCCTCGGGAGTCTCAAAAAATCAGATGATAAAACCGGGAAAGGGATTATTAAGTTGAAATAAATAAATGACTACCTGAAGCCACCCACCCCAACCTACACACACACACACACCCCTCACCTACTTCATCTCCCCAGTTCCCATTAAGAGGCTTAATGCTACTGCCAGGAGGAACTACTACTCAGAGCCAGCCTCCAGGGCAAGTGTCCATGTGCTTCAGCTGTGGACTGTCCTAATAGGCTCACATGGGTGGGGCCATAGGCCCAGTTACCTCACTCCAAAGCACTTTCCCTTGAAGTAAATATGTGAAAAGTGCCTACTATGTGCTAGCTGATTGAGAAACATGGATCTCACCCTCATTTCATTCAAATTGAGTGGGGGAGAGGAAAGCAGAAAACCAGTCAAGTAATTGCAGCATGCACGGGTGAACTTCATGTTTCAGAATCAAGAATGGCTTCCTGGAGAAAGGAACCACCGAGGTGAGATTGGAAGGGTAAGTAAGAATTAGCCAAGGAGGGGAGCACTCCAGGAACAGCGAAAGGGCAGTGATAGAGAGGCCCAGGGATGAAAAAACATATGGTGCTGACTGTGGATCAGAGGTTATGTGAAGGAGAGAGATGAGACTGAGTGGAGAGTAGGCACTGGGTCTGATGCAATCTTATGGCCCACGAGAGACAGGGCAGGCTTTATGCAGGGGAGCAGCCCTGGGAACACCCTGTGGGGAGCTGAGCAAGGAGGGCTGGAGTGGGAAGGAGCTGGCTAATGAGGAGGCCAGAGCAGAAGGGATGGAAAAGAGTGGACAGAGCAAAAGTCTGTCAGGGGGTGAAATCAACCCCCCAGACACCATGTTGCTACGTGTTCTAATTAGGTGGCCAGCATACCAGGATGGATGGCTTCCCTGAGCTCCTATCTGAGGGTCTTTCCTGAACTCAGTGATGCCAGTCCTTCCCTGATGACAGATGCAACCACASCTAGACTCCATCCCAACATCTGAGCCTCACCATTGGCCTGTTGCCCACAAAGAGACTCCGGGCAACTGTGCTGTGCCCCTGGGGACAGACAGGGCTATTTTGAAAGCAGTCTGGGTATCCACAGGCAGCTGCCAGGCATTCCCGACAGGACAAGTTAAGCTCACTGGCCCAACTTCAAAGCCAGAATAGCATCTGTCCCTCGTAGCCTCCGGAAAGGAGAGGTCAGCTCATGATGGCCAACACATTTGGCACTTCACATGGCTCCTGTTCAAAGGCAAATTTTCCCATTGCTCCCTCCCCCAGCCCTGCCGTGTGTGTGTGTGTGTGTGTGTGTGTGTGTGTGTGTGTGTGTGTGAGAGAGAGAGAGAGAGAGAGAGAGAGAGAGAGAGAGAGAGAGAGATACACGGAAAAGTTCTCAGTGTCTGGGACAGAGGGACACGAAAGGAATCCAGTGCCTCTCTCACCTGGAACCTAGAAAAGTAGTTTTTTTTTCCCTGGAGAACTTTGGAGCTTCCCAAAGGGTGGGAAGAGGGGTCCTAGTAGCCATCCTCTACACATACTACCTAGATCAGCCCTTAGCCCCATCAATGATACCAAGTGACCCTAACCCCTAGATGTCCTAGGACCTTGAACCAAAGTTGTTTCAAATGATTTCCAGGGACCAGGAGAGGACTCTCTCCAGGAGCACTGGGCTTCCTGGCCACCTTGGCTACTACAATTCTACTAGGAGCAGAGAAAAAGAAAATTCAGGTAAATCCTCCCTTCCAATCTGTGGTGGATGATTATAAATGGAAGCAAACTTTTATGAACTAGAAATAGAATAATAATTTTATCATGTCACACACACACATAATTTAAAAAACCAACAGCCTACTGCACACTTAGCTGCAAAACACCAGAGGAATTTCCAAGAAATTCAGAAAGAAGTAGGATGACTATTGTAATAATGCTTCAGAAGTTCTAGGCAATTCAATTAGACACAAAAGCAAAGAAAATATAAGTATTAGGAAGGAGATAGCAAAATTTTTCTTATTTGCAGGTGATATGACATGTACCCGAGAAAATCAGTTAAAAATCAAAAAGGGAATAAGTGAGTTCAACCACCACCCATGACCTCACAGGTTAACTTCTTCAAGGGTGAAATAAAGCCAGAGTCACAGTTTACTAAATACACATAATAGTTAATATATGTTAAGCATTTAGGAACAGATCCTGTCACCTTAAGAACTCAGTAACAATTAGCTAGTWTTATAAGATACATTTTTTAAATCAAGTTTAATACATAATAACGTAACCAGCTAAAATATAGAAGAAGCAAAGTTACAGGAACAAAAAAGCCATCTATGAATAAACTTATCAAAAAATATAAAAGATATGAATAAATGGAAAGACCCAGCATGCCCCTGGAATGCCCCGGGATAAGAAAACCCAATATTGTACAGATGAACAATCTCCTCCAAGTCAATTACCTCTTTGCAGTCCCAGTCAGGAGTGCCAAAGGACCCACCTTCCCAGTGCCTTATGGAATATTTTCTAAAAAAAACTGACCTCCACGTCAGTCCCCCAACCAGGGCCTCTCTCTATGAGCCTGCCCTGCTCCCAGAATGACCTCCTACTGTAGTGCTTGGTGGTCCACATTGATTCCCTCATCTTTCTTTCCCACTAGTCCATGAACCCACAGGTCAGGCTGAGTCTGCAGCATCTCAGTAACCCCACAGTGGACTCATGCTAGATAGTGATAAGGTCTTGACTAGGTAAACAAACTGCCCCATGATGTTAGAGATGAAAGAGAAGCTGTCCCCTTTAGCACCCCTACGAGGACCAATAGAGAGACACCTACTTTGGGTTTTGCAATCTCCTTGATCCTCTCGATTTCCTCGTCAGACATGACATCGTAGTACCTGACGATGTGCGGGCTATCCCACTCGTCCTCCTCTTTGAAGGGGGCGATGAGCAGCTGTGGTACCCTGTTGCCATGGTGGTACCTACAGAAAAGCCTCTTCTGCCTCCGGGGTGTCTGGGGAGCACAAAATAACAGACCTTGAGCTGAGAGATCCCTTAACCTCAGTCCCAGCTCAGCTGTCTGCAGACGCTGTCTCACACCCATGACCAGCTGCTGCTCCCTGCCTCCCTGCCACAGAAGAAATGAAACACCTCTCAGGGTGACTGGCATGAAGTGACAAACCACAAACCATGCAGCTTTTCGTCTCTCTCAAGATCACCTCATGCCCACGAGTCCTGTGGCAGAAGGTAATTCCTGACCCTTTCTCAGAGATTCAAATAGGTCTGGAGGGTGGGCAGGGAGAAGCCTTTCCAGGGGAGGAGTCAGTGGGAGCCAAGTGGACGGGCATGGAAAAGGCAAGAGCCTGCCTCACACCTGAACCTCTGTGAGGAAGCACTGGAAGCCCAGGGCTCCCCAAACCAGTGGTACCGATACCAAGCTCCAGCAATTGCTATGTCTTTACCACAGAGACTTACTCTCCACTACACTGGGGCCTCCCTTGGGACCTGAAGCACATCCTTACCCATGTTTTCTTCATAACAGTGAGATGAGCAAAGGCTGGGCACACTGGGGTACGGAGAGGAGTACAGTAATAACTGAGGGKATGGAAATTCTACTTGGGGCATCAGGGAAATTCTCCAGCCCTACACCTCAGAGAACACCCACACATCAGCCTCAGCAGACGCTACCAAGAACTGGGGGAGATGCTAAAAAAAAGTATCTACACATAGTGGAACATCCTCCTAGGCCTGCCTGCCCACCTCGGACAGGCAGGTCTATAGTCTGGGCACTGTGCCCTCTCCCACAACTCACCAGTTTGACACCCTCCCCACGACAGAGGCTCTCATACACGTCCCTCTCAGGCAGGTAGTCCACTGGCCTCTCGTAGAGGCCTCCCTGGGTTTCTAGCACCGCTTCTGTCTGATTTAGCGACTGTTTTTCCCTTTCTTCCTCCAACAACCGCTCAAAGTACCGCAGATTCCCTCCGGCTCGCTCATGACTTGGGTCTAGAAAAAGCAAAGAACGAGAAGGAARAGGAAACCACAAACGTCTGTTAGGTTTTTTAGATAAATTATTCAGTAAGCGGTTTCTCTCCCAGCAGCCCCCTTGCAGGTTTTGCCTTCCACAGCACCTATCCAGGTGTGTGGGTGAGAGCCAAAGAGTCAACAGAGGACTCCCCAACCYGGTCAGAGCTGAGAGAGCAGCACCATCAAAGGAGGGGAACCCTAGCCAGCCACGGAGGAGACTGCCTCTCCAGGCCTCCCTGCAGGTCCCAAGGTCCCCAGTCCAGAGAAGCAGTCCTGATCCTGCCTCCTCCTCTTGACAGCCATATCTCCATTTACAGCCATTCCCCAGACTGCGGGCACTGCTGGAGACTATGCTGTGCCCTGGCCACAGCTAGAAGCAAGCTGTAACACCAGCAAAAAGAACAGCCACAGCATCCAAAGAAACAGGCGTGGCAGGATTTCTGTGATACTCCTCAGGTAAGGAAACTGAGGCTCAAAGATATTGAGTGCCTTGGGTWGAGATTCTATAGAACAAGAATCCAGGGGCCCCAACTCCTTGTCCAAGGCCCTTACTGACTCACCTGAGAGAATCTACAAAGATCTTTTCCCACATAGGTCATATGCTAGCTGACATCCAACTCAGGGCCCCACGGAAAGCAGTGGCATAAAGAAGGCTTTGCCAGTCTCTGAAACTCCAGATGACAGTGTTGCCATGTAAGAGGTGCCACAGATGGGTTGTGAAGGCACCAGTGCCATGGCAAGCCCTACYGTGAGACCTGAGACCTCCAACTAGTTGGTACCACAGTGACACTGATGGACAGCCTGCATCGAAAGCTACTCCTGACAYAGTGGCAGATCCACCCTGCCGAGTGTCAAATGTACGACAGCACTGGGTCCTTAGTTAGAAAGGGAGCATGCAGGGCCACAGGTATCACAGGCACCCCAGACCTGGGTACACCCATCAGCAATGGGCAAGGGCTAATGGGTAAGGAGCTAGCTGGCAGTTGGAATATGCCATCAGTCACTGGCCAGGTGACAGGTCAAACTGACTCAATCCCCAAAGAAGTGTCAAGTGGTATGTCCCCTGCCAGCTCCCCATCTCCATCTCACCTTCCCTGAATCTCCTTACCAAGGGAGAGCAGGCGGCGGGTGAGCTCCACAGCACGGTGCAGGTCACCCAACTGGAAAACGGCATAGCTCAGGTAGTCCAGCGCCTGGGCCTTGGCCACAGTCCCCTCCTCCCCAGCATCAAGTTGCTTTAGCACCTGCTCCATCCACAGCACCGTGTGGTAATAGTCCCCTTCATTGTAGGCTGAACGGCCCATCCCGAAGCAATCATCCACGCTCAGCATGGCCTGGTACTTGGTTCCTACAGCAGGAGAGTCCAACAGTCAGCCTCCAAAAAAAGAAACACTGGGTTATGGAGGGAGGTTCCCACCAGAGCCTTAGACCATAAGCCCCAACATGCCACTGATACAGTAAGCACAGACAGGTAGGCTCTGCCCTGGGTTGGGGTTTACAGCCAATCTCCCAGCCTTAGACTCCCCTTCTCCCAAGGGGGAGGAGCTGTGTTATGGGGGACCCCAGGAAGCCCACCAAGAAGTAGTGTGGAAGGTACGAAGATCCTGTGGGCCACACAGGAGAAGACATCTGGGGGACAGAAAAATCAGCTGAAGAAACAAATGTAGGAGGCAGCAAAAGCACACATGAGGAWAATCACGTGTAAAAAATGTCTGAGGGAAGAGTGGAGAAAGTGGCCACAGCCCTGGGGAGCACCCACTCAGAAAGGACAGAGGATACAGAACATCAACAAGCGACTAAGACGTAGGAGAAACTGAGGGAGTGGGAGCAGCGTGACAGACACGGAGGGAGGCCGAGAGCCAAGGCTGCAGTACTGGCTTTGGCCATCAGGCAGCAAAGACCTTGGTGAGCACCACTCAGCAGGCCTTGTGACTTCAGGTCATGTGCTGTGAGCTGAGCACTAGAAAGTGACCATGAAGACAGTTTCAAGCCAAGAGCAGTGGCTATAGGGAAATGAAAGGTTTAGGGCAGACTCAAGATGGGAAAAATCTATGTGTTCCTCTAAGAATAACAAGAAAGCAGATCCCATGAGAACAAGGAGGGCTGTGACCCTTACTGGAAAGCACAGGAGTCCCCCCAAAGCCCTTTTAACAGCCACATGGACATGGTTGATATGAAAGAACTGCCTCAGAGTGGGCCCCCTCTGCCTGATATCCAAGATGGACCTCTGCCCAAAAGGAAATTCCTTCTGCAGTAGGAAGTGCCCATGTCAGAAACTGGGTGGCTTAGGAACCAACACTGTAGGATAGAAAGTTGGGGAGAGTAATCACAAGACAGAGATGTAGATAGGCCAGGGTTTGGTTCCCTAGGGCCTCTTTCCCCTCTCCATACCTCACCACAGATTTTGGCTAGCTCTGTAGTCCCAGGAGCCTATCTAGCTTAAGTTTCAGTCTCCTATCTACATAGAGATAATATCCACCTAAACAGAGATAGTGACACCGATTTTAAAGGACATAGGCCAAGAATTCAATGAGATGATATATGAAGATGGCTCCTGTGATCCTCAGGATGCTAATGATGGGTAGCTATTATCAACATGTCTCACAGATACCAAGAATGTTAAGAACGGCTCTCAGGCACTCAGCATCCCTCCCAAAAGGCAACTTGAAGAGAGTGGGCCCTGCAGAGTGACAGCTGAGTGTGGAAAGGCAATCAGACAAGTAGCAGCCCAGCTGACACGGGTAAAGGTATTCCTGCAGAGGGAGTGGGAGGAACCAAGGAGCTGAGCAAAGGAGAAGCTGAGCACAAGGGGCAAGGAGGCCAGGGAGACAGTGGGACCTCAAAGACTCCACACAGGAGGGGTTTGGGTTTATCCCTGAAAGTTAAGCACTGTGACCAGGTTTTAGTGTGCTAAAGACAACATGGAGGATGGGATTAAAAAGTGAGCTGGACAATTGCAGGAAAATGGATGGAACTTGAGAAACTTATGTTAAATGAAATAAGCAAAACTCAGAGTCCAGAGTCTAGGGCCATATGTTTTCTCTCATATAGGGAACTTAGAGAGGAAAAAGGAAAAAAAGGGGGTGGGGGGGATGGTCTCATGAAAATAGAAGGGAGATCAAGAGGAAGAGGACAAGGGAGAAAAGGGAAATCCTGGGGAACAATAGTGATAAATTATATTGTTATATCATGTGCAAATGTGAATATATAATAAGTCAGCTGATATCTTAGCCGGTCATGGGGCAGTAGTGAGGGGACAAGTACAGAAGACATTAGGGAAGTAGACTCTATGGGCCTCAGGATTCTGGCTTAGGCTGCAAGTAAGAGGAGATGCTTCTTGCTGAGGTAAGTGGTGAAGGAATTGGGTAAACAGCTCAAAGGAGGTAAGGATTTCAATTTAGGACACATGAAATTTGAGAAGTCCATGGAATATCTAAGCACAGACAGCCCACAGGCATTCGCTGACACTGGTTGGAAGCTCAAGAGGTTGTCTTGGTGGGAAACACGGATCCAGAAGTCAACCATGGATGGGAAATGCCTCAAAGGATGAAAATTACTGGATTCACCTGGGGAAGGCTTGTAGGAACTAAATCCTAGAGAGTAACTCCCTTCTGTCCTCACCTCCCCATTCAGGACACTCACAGGCGTGTGAACTGAGTGTCCATGTCAGAGTGTAGCTCCCTCTTCCCACCAACCTATCACACAGCTACAGAGCAAACAGACCCTGCAGGTGCCCTGAGCTGCATTTTATCTTGGATCTCATGGTATAGCTTGGTTCAAAACCTGACTGAGGCATTAATAAGAAGTTCACATCCCCTCCTGTTACCTCATCAGACCCAAGGCCCCCGGCCACACCTAGCCAGTAACAGAAAACCTAAAAAAGGAGAAAGATTCCACACACTATGGATCTGTTTGTATCTTCTCTSGTGTCCCACAAGTGAGATTCACCCAAGGTCTAATGAGATACAATGGAATCCCTAGGTTTATTGTTCTTGAAAAGCTCTCCAAACCCAGCTTATCTTCTTACAAACACTTACATTGAGGAAGTCAGTGGAGAAGGAACTGGTTTTAAAAAGAAAGAACAAATGACCAGAGAAGCCAAAAGAGAAGAAGCCAATATCAGTATCCCAGAATTCAAAGGAGGGGAAAACATCAGGCAGAATGAGGCAATCAATGTGCCTAACGTTGCTGAAAAGTTAAAGAATATCATGCCTGAAATGTCTGTTGGCTTTACCAGCCCCAGAGGGTTGGCGGACAGCAGGCACAAAGGCACAGTGGGGTCAGGAGTACAGAGGAACTAGAAGTGGAGAAAGAGTGTGAATCGCTCTATCCAGTAGCCAACCAAGAAGGGAGAGGAGACTGACCACAGCAGAGACCAAACAGTCTTGTACCCTGAAGGAGGAGTTCRGGAATGAGCAAGAATAGAGCATCTGTATGAGCTCAAGGAGAGACCCCAGAGAGGTGAGGACAGAATGAAAAGGAGCAGAGACTTAACTGAGGGGACATAGGAGAGAGGGCAGAGTTTAGAGATCAGCCTTGTTGGGGAGATAGGAGGGTGGGAGATGGAAGCAGGTCTGGCCGTGGATCTGTGGTGCTCTGGGGCAGAGACCAGCAGGGTTCCTGACAGCAGCCTCAGCGTTCTCTGAGACACAAGAGGAGAAGGAGGACCTTGGATAGTGCATGGAAGGAAGTGGCAGGCAGGGGATGCGGGGAAGCAGCTATCAAGGGACAGGGGACAAGCACCGAATGGGGATCCAAAACAAGGATCATCAGTAGAGGCAGAGACCGTACACTGCCTCTGCCTTGTCCAGCCAGCAAAGAGACACAAGCAGGACAGGCAAAGCCCAGAGCACTGAGTTACCTGGAAGATCCCCTCTGGAAATTGTGTCTGGGTCCAGCTTGTATGTGTCCTGAAGTCTCATCAAAGCTTTGGCAGCCCCTGACTCATCCTCATCAGTGGGGAAGAATTGCCGTTGCACTGAGAGGTTGGCAATAAAACCTTCCAAATGAGAGGGAGAACAAGAGGTTGCCTTAGATCCAGGGGCAGAAATGCTCCTGGGATCAGAGAGGCAGCCACTAGTAGGTCTCTGGCTAGTGGGTTYGTGCCGCTTGCCTCTGAGACTACTGGTAGGCTCAGTGGTGATGTACTTGCTCAGCATGTGTGAGAGCTCAAGGAGAGATGCCAGCACTAGGGGATGTGGGAGGAAGAGTTTGCCCTTCCACCAGGAAGGCCTCCCAGACTGCTCTAGTCCATGGGACTTCTTTCTTACTCCTCACTCTCCTACCACCTGTGCTGCTCATTTGGAACTGAACAGAAATAGCTGGTACAGTGGTTAACAGTTGGGAATCTACAAGTCAAGCTTTGAGCTCTCTGATCACGGTGGCCAAGACCACAGCCTGGAGCCAGGAAAAGCCTCTGACCACTGAAATGCCCCCACAGAGACTTTCCCCAGTTATATAGCAAGAGAGGCATCTCCTGAAATCCCAGGACTCCCAGGCTGATTCAGGCCTTCAGTTCCATCTATGAGGTAAGAATTGGGAGGGGAAACCCCAAGGAATTCCTCCCCTGGCCCCTTCCCAAGGGCAGCAGCACACACTGCAACCCACTGTCAGAACGGGCTCAAATACTCATTTCTAGCCAAGCCTGGGGATTCAGAGGTCAAGAAGCTGCTACCCTGTCTTCCTTCTGGCTTCATGGTCAGGGACTCTGAAGAGTTCAGAATCCAGGAAATAGAAAAACACGCCTCCTTGAAAAAGCCACAGACAGTGTCAGCATGCCCCCCTCAGTTCAGGGGCAAGAACTCCATGTCAGGATGAAAACAACCTGTTGCTCTCTGGGCTGTTTGGTATCCTTCTAGGTAATTTTAAGGTTTCCCCGATGTGATGCAGAGGGAAGGGTGTGGAGAACAAGGTCAGTGAGCAGTGATCTTCTGAGCAGGCTCAGTCTCCCGCTGTGCAGGCTGAACAGACCGTTCCCAGCTACAGGCCTAGGAGGCGGGGTCTGGGAAAGGCAGGCGGGGCTTCTGGAGGCAGTGAGCTCACTGGGCACAAGGCCAGCCTGGCTGAGCTCACCAATCCCTCCCTGGAGGCCACCCTGCCCCCAGCCAAGCCCGACCCAGTCTGGCCACGTGAGCTGAAATGTCTCAGCCGGAGAGACAGCTAGTCTGAAGTTAACCAGCACTCCCAACTCCAAAGAAAAGAGACAAGGCCTGAGCCCGAGGCTGGGAGTCCATGAGGCCGCCTCCAGGCTCACCACCACCATCACTTCATTTTGACAGGAAAGTGTCAGAGCACGGTAAATGCTACCCTAGAAAAAACTTTTCAAAAAAGTCATACTGGGGGGTGGCGGGGGGAGTCATACTCTGACCTGTAAATACCATTTCTAAGAATTTACTCTAGAAAAATAATCAGAGTTAGACACCAAAATGTATATGAAAGATTGCTGATAATTATAATTTGGAAATAGGCCCATTTCCCATGACTTTCCCAGTTTTACAGTATAACAGTATGACAAATTGTGATCCAGCTATTAAAATCATGTTGCATAAAAACTTTTAATAGCATATAGAAGCTGGGTGCAAAGTGCACACTGTAATCTCAGTTACTGAGGAGGCTGAGGGCAGGAGGATATCAAGTTCGAGGCCAGCCTCAGCAACTCACCAAGACCATCTCAAATAAAACATGAAGGAAAAAAGAAAGAAAAAAAGAAACAGGGGAACTGGGATGTAGCCTAGTGGTACAGTACTTGCCTAGCACATGTGAGGCCCCGGGTTCAATCCCCTAATACTGGAGCGGGTTGGAAGAGACAATCTGTGAAATTCAGGGACAGGTAAGTATATGCTTATGTCACAAATCCGCCAACAGAAATGTTTTGTTTGTAAAAGACATGAATAGGAAAGAATTCAGATGAAGGCTATGCTCACCACTTGACTCCTTTAGAATTCATTTGTCCCTCAAAGCAAGTGAGTTTTCATCCCCTGGTATATATATGGTTCCTTTAATTTAAAAAAATGTATGCATATATAGAAAGATCATAATTTTAACAGTGCTTATTACTAGGCAACTGGATTGAGAATTGTAATTTTCTCATGTGACTGTGTTTGTTTTCCTAACTTTTCTATAAAAACATGTATTACTAAAGTATAATTACAGGAAATGTTATTACCAAAAACAAAAAGGMAAAAACTGATTACAGTTACATGTTTTAAAATAAGGACCGCCAACTACCAGCACTAAAAGAGAAAGGACAGAGCCATCATCAGCAGGGTCTATATTCTTACATAACATTTGCTCACTGTCCCTCACCTGCCGCTGAGTCCTGCAGGACTAGGTCTTCCAAAGCAGGCCAGTCTGTGTTCAGCCGCTTCACCAGCTTATAGGCATTCACAGGGTGAGCCAAGTAGCCCTCTGGGTCAGCAGCTGACTTGCTGGTCAGGGCTTCCATTTTGTTGGCCCAGCTGTGGAACCAAAGAAAAGGAAGACTAACATCCCCACCCACACAGGTCTTGATCTGTGGTAATTTCCCTGATGAGACCCGTCAACTTTTGTTAAGAGGTAATAAAACATGAATACAGTAACTCCCACAGATACATCTAGCTTCTTAATCTTAATAAGAGCTGGGAACCTTGGTGAAAGTAGAAAGGACTTAAGCAGAAAGGAAAAGACAGAGACTCTTTAACCCATGTGATACTAAAGTATTCAGACGGGTGGGAGAGACCACACCTCTGGAGGGCTTCCTCTTATAGACACCACATGGGCTGTGGGGAGGGGCAGGAAGGCTGACTCAAGGTGCATATGAGGCCTTAGGACATTAGACACCTCTTAATCTTGGAGAGCTTGGCTTCCTCCACAAGGATGTACTCCTTCAGAGCCTGTACCAGGTCTTTCTCTGCATAAATYAGGTCAGTCATGTGCCCTGTAGGAGAGAAGTAAGGGCCAATCAGAAGTGAATGAGGGATGTCCAGCCCCCTTCCTTGGGGCATAAAACATCAATTCAGAAGAAGTAAATTTTCTGGGCCAAGGGCGTGTCGAGGCTCTCTGGGAACACATGGTCCTGGCCCCAACTCTAGGAGGAGACAGGCAGAAGTGCCAACAGGATGTCTGTGATAAATTCACTGGGATTACTCAAGGAAGAAGGTCCAAATTTCATTCTCCCACCGTTAACCAGCTGGTCAAGTCACTGGGAATAGATATCCTAAGGGGTCATCATATGGAAACAAGCTCTGAAACTTCAGGTAAGGAGAAGAGCTGGATTCCCAGGACACAGAGTGCTCACTGCTCAGAACCACTCTTGGCCTGGAAGAAAGTTAGTCAAAAAGGCCAGATAGCAGGCATGCAGCCTGTATGTCCCAGGGAGAAGGGCCCATTCAGACAGCTGGATCCAAGGAAATCCAGATCTTTAGGCTCTCAGAAGGGGAAATGGCAACTCTGTAAGCCCCACGATCTCCAGAACTGGTCAAAACCAGTGAATGAGGCCACCCTTCCCTGAATTAGAACACACCTCACGTAGTGAAATCACCTGGCATTTGAGCCAAGGGATACCCAGGAAGACAACAGTCCTGTTGCCACATACCAATAGAGGTGAAGAACTCGGCYTGCACGCAGCTCAGGACACCAAACCAGGCCATCAGCAGTGTGGACACCTGGAGTTTCATGGTCAGAGAGGGAAGCATCTGCAAGGCATTCAGGGACATTCATTAGATCAAAATGGGCTTAAAAACAAGGACAGTTAATTGCTAGGACCAATAGATTGCCAGTGAAAAAGAGCAACTTAGGTTCAATACATATGTGCACACATACACACACACTCAAATGTGCCAAAATCCTGGCGCAGCACAAGAAAGCTAAGAAAGAGATTTGGGATCACCACAGGGTGTGGAAGCACTGACATGTGCTCAATTCTGGACCCTACTCTGGCAAGCCATATGCCCTGGGGAAAGGCTCCATCCTCTCAACTCCTGGAAACCACTAGCAACATGAGAAGGCTGAATCATGGTGAGGGGACAGTCACCTCTGGTTCCAATCATCTGACAGTCCAAGATTCTGGTCTACCCCTTCTTATTTCACAGACTGTTTCTCTTACCTTCCAACACATGTACCATGATAATGCCAGATTCTGGTGACCTAGTCCTTGCCCATAAGATGGTGACACTATGACAAGACAACAACAGAGAACTTGACATGATATGTTCTAGGGAACCCAGCCCAAACTGAGGTGTAGAGCAGATGGTCAGCCAGAAGAATCATCAAACTGACCCCAGCCAGTCCTGTACCTGCCACACACAGAGCAGTCAGGGGAGTGACATCCAGGATAGACACTGCTCTTCCTGTAGTGAGGCTCCTTAGCAGACGCCATCCTCACTGGCCAGTCACCGTTCATTCACAAATATTTACTGACCATACAGAGATGCCAGGCACTGAGCTAGGCACTCAGAATACAAAAATGAATTAGCCACCCATAGCCAAATTCTTGAGCYAGACAGTTGACACAGGGAAGAAGCCAGCTCCTCATCAGTCTAGAAATAGTCAGACACAGCTCTGAGGGAGGCAGGCACCACCTGGGGCAAGCCTCACTGGCAGTGGACCCATATACACAAGAGAAGCTTCAGACATCATCTCCCAGCTCAGCAACGCAGCCCAGGACGTGCTGGAGGACCACCACCCATCGGAGCCCCTACTCTGCCAATTCTTCTCTTTTGGATCCACTTCAGCCAAGTCTCACTGGAATGCTCAAATGGAAATTTACTGAGAAAATAAAGGAAAAATAAACGCTTCTCCCCAAAATAAAAGTCTTAACTGAAAGTTAAGCTCCAAGTCTGAGCTGCCTAATGCCGGTTCACCAATTTTTGCCTGCCATGGTTGCTTAGATACACAGTCACACTCTCCATTCCTCATCTTACCCTTTCAGAAGAAATTTCAATCCACTGTGGTTCCAGGTTAGGCTCACAGAAGGGCCCAGCCCCAAACAGGTTCCTCTAAYCTTATCTAAGAAGATAGCTTAAGTGCATGGGCCCAAGTGTCCAGCCCAGCAGGGCTACAGAGCTGACAGCATGCCCGTCACAGTCTAGTTGCTCGGGCTCAGAGACAGACAGGATAATTATCTTTCCTCAAGCCAGGATGTGCTGTAAGGAAGGGAGTAGTAGGCTAGAGAGTATATTATGAGTCAAGGCATCAAAAGAAAGCAAGGAGATAAGTAGGTGTGGGCCAGGTGCTCCCAGTTCCAGCCTGGTCTGCTCCCAGGCCTCCCCAACTGTCTTCTCCATTTCAGGATTCCAGAAGGCCTCTCTGGTTGCTTCTACAAGCCCATTAACTTAAAAGGGCATATGTCTATTCTTTGTACCTCAGAAGGCTTGACTACCTCAGGAGAGTACCTTCTGTGTATGTGTAGGAAAAACTCAAAGCCAGGAGGATCTGTGAACATTAGGGGGACCATCTTTGGGGCGGGGGTGATGGGAGAACAAGGTCCAGGCAGGAGATCAGACTAGACCCTTCTSTCCAGGTGTATCACCATTTTCAGTTGCATACATCTGCAGAGCTCAGACAAAAAATTTATGGGAAGAGGGAGTCTCTCCATGCCTTTCAAATTATCCAGCTGACACCATCCATGAGCACCTAATAGCACTTACGGTAAAGCAGCCAGGTTTCTTTATTACATGAATACCAGCTGTCCTTTCTCTGGAATGTGCTGTGTGGCTTAGATTGAGCCCATCCACGAATCCTGGCCTGGAGGCAGAGCCTCAAAGAATCACAAATAAGTTTGGGGAAATTAAGAGTCGCAGAGTCTCACTCTGGCAGGAGAGGGGGATGATGACTCTGCTGGCCCAAACAGCTGGGCACCCCCAAGCAGCTCCCAGACTGCCACATCCATACTGCCATCCCAAGCAGGGGCATCTTGCAACCCCATCCTATTTCTCCTGATCCAGGGCCTCTCTACTCAGAAGGCTTTGTACAAAGGTTATTTAATTAGCATGAAGTTGGGAGGAGGAAGCATTCAAAAGGGACTGTAACTCACAATGTGCAAAAGGTCAACCCTTACTCTCTCTTRTACCCTTAACTTGCAAAGAACATGTGAGTACGTGTACCTGCCTAGTTCCAAACAATGTCCAATGCTGCCAAAAGCCCTTCCAGGAACCTTCAGAAATCCACGCAGAATAAGTTTGATGATGTGGCCAAATTCCCTTTTATGAAAAGCAAAGTTGCACCAAGCCCAAACAGAAAACCATTGTTGAGTTTTACCTGAGCTGCACCCTAGAGCTTAGAATAATGTATCTCCTAGAAGTCACCCCACAAATAACTCTTCATCATATGCTTGTTCAATTTAGGAAACAACAACAGAAAATTTTAGATTTCTTCCATAGAGTGAATTGTTATAGAGTATACAGAATGCCTACTGTATGCATATCAATGCAGAGAGAACAAAGCACTGTGAAAAAGCAGGCCCCAAACAAAGTATACTACATGATTTCACTTTTGTAAGGAAAAACTACTGCATGTAGTATATATGCAAGAGAGGCATGATCTAGTTGCATCTCAGTGAAGTAATTTTATTTTTCCTTTTATGCTTATTTGTTTTCCTAATCTTTTTATAAGGAATTATATAGGAATTTTTAAAATATTTTCTATAATATGCTTGAATATAAAGGAAACAAAGCAGGGCCTTCTCAAATGAACTCTAAAGGGGTCTTGGCAGCCCTACAGTTTGGACCCCCACCGGGAGGTCCTGTGAAGCCTGCCAACACCCCAGTGACAGTAATTCACCCACCAGGCAACTGGCACTATTTCTAAGCACAGGGAAATTCCAAGACATACAACCAGAGGTCCTACCAAGACTGCTCTTTGGAAAGAACATTTACAACCTGGCCAAATGACCATGAAAAGATGTTTCCAGCTGCAAACCAGCAGCGTCCTTAGCTTCTCCCCTTACCTCATCAAGCAGGATCCTCTGCCAAGCTCCCAGCTGCAACCCAAACCCAACAGCTTGAGTTTTAACAATGTACTTAACAGCCTAGAGACAGAACATGGATTTGCTGAGAATAGAAAGGTCTTGCTTGGCACTGGATAAAATTCTGCCTGTTTTCTGTGAAGTAGCAAAACCTCCCTGAACAGGGGTCCTTGACCCCCTATCCCTCCCATGGCCCTCCCTCCTGGTGCTGTGACCAGCTCCAGAATGGCAGAGATGAAAGGAATTAAATGCTCAATCTAGGAGGAGCTGCACGGAGCTACGGGAGGTCCCACTATAGAACACATGAATGAACATTCAGGCCCAAAAGCTGCTGTCACTGCCACTACAGGAAAGGCACTCAAGTGTTCTCTGATGTTACATCTCAACCATCATCTGAGCCCTTACCAACACAGCTACAGCCATGCTGGCCCTAACCTTCTCTGACCTCTCTCTCCACATCTCATCTGGCTTCCCTCCCAACTCTATTCTACAAAGTAGTCAGCATGGCTTAATGAATCCCTTCCTTTGGCTTCCACTGCCAGCAGGACAAAGTCTGAACTCCTTAACCCAAAGGGCCCCATAACTCTGTGTGACCTGGCCCTGCTGTCCTTTCCAGCCCATCTCACCAAAGGTTTCATATCTTCAACAATTACTCCATGTGAAAAATATTTCTTTTACCAAAAACCTAATGAAGCCTGGATCTGTGCTCAAAGTAGTCAAGTGTTCTCTTGAACCTCATCATCCCTCACTCCACATTTAAGAAGCCATATAAGATTATCATTGAGGGAACTCCCTGAGCTCTTATTTTTGATCCCCAGTAGAGAAAAGGAGGCACAATGGACCCTGCAAAACTGGATGAGGGTGCATGTGACAGATAATATGTATCTGTTCCTACACCTTCTCCATCCAGTGCATGAAAACATTGATTTCCACTTCCCTACTTGGGTACCATTAAAACCACAAAATCTCCTGCTTCAGTAATTAGGCCATGAAGTAGCAAGGAGATCATTAAAATCAACATGCAAATGCCAAGTTGGGTTTTCAGTTAGGGTCTTGGCAGAGACTTGGCAGTCTAGATTATCTTAATTCATAAGAAGAATCTACGGGAGGATGAAATTCACACATCACCATATTGGATGCATCCTACACACAGTCTCATACTCTGTCTCACCCATGTTCTAGGCCCTGAACCACTTGTTTGGCCTTAACCTAGTCAAAATGACTGTATTGACCTATGCCAGAATTTCTGGCTCCTCCTACTATCTCCATACTGATCTCTCCAATGGCTACAGAAGGGCCCTCCTGAGGAGGGAGGGAAAGTCAGTGGCTCACAAGGCAGTTCTGACCAATGATGCATAGAAGACAAGAGAAGTTCAGCCCATAAATTCTCTCTAGGCCTTTTACAAGAAACTGTTCTGARGCATAGAGTTTCTACAGAGCCTGCACAGAGAGGTCCTGAATGGGTAAACAACAAGTAGATCTTCATGCAGAGTGGCCACCTTGCTAAAGCACCACCCTGTATTTGCTTCCTATTCTTCTCTATCTCATTTTTCTCTTCCCATGTCTTGGCTGCCCTGCAATAACAGACTTTCCAATAAAGCATTAAGCACTTAAGCTCTTCCTCAGGCTGTTTTCTGGGAACGTAGTCTAAGRTAACCACAATTTATGTTTCCAAAAATCTTTCATTTCTACAATCTAATTCTCACTAAAATCTTGTAAGCTAAATAATCATCTCCATTCCAGATGGAGTAATCCCCCCMTTGTCCATGGAGGATACAGTCCAAGACCCCCAATGGAGGCCTGAAACCACAGGAAATAAATATCAAATCTTGCATATGCTGTTTTTTCCCCATACGTATGTACCTATGATAATATTTAGCTTATTAATTAGGCACAGTAAGAGATTACTGTTAAAAAAAACAAATAACAAAATAGATTATAGCATTATAAAAAAATTGCCAGCATCGCTGCTCTTTCACTTTAGGCCATTATTAATAATAAACAATAAGGATTATTTGAACATAAACATTGCAATACCATTAACAGTCAATCTAATAACCAAAATGGCTACAAAGTGACAAGTGGGTAGCATATACAGCATGGATACACTGGAAAAAGGACTGATTCTTGTCCTGGACAGAACATGCAGGATGGCACAAGATTTCATCATGCTAATCAGAAGGGCTCACAACTTAAAAATTACAAATTATTTATTTCTGTAATTTTCTATTTAATATTATCAGACTGTGGTTGACCATGTATAGCTGAAACTGTGGCAAATAAAATTGTGGGTAAGGGGGGAAACTACTGTATAAGATAGATACAAAAGATTGATAAGTGAAGCCAAGAGGGCTTCCTCCACATTTGACATCTGACAGACAATCAATGTCAGAACCAAGCCCAAGCCCCAAACACACTTTTTACTACAGACAGCTGCCATCCAATCTTACTCAGCAATATGAGTTACCTTAGAACACAGGGGCCTTCCAAAGAGGGAAGCAACACTTTGCTCTAGCAAAGCATGCCTGCCCAGGCTAAGGACTTTATCATGGATTACCCAAAAGGTTCACAAAAGYAGGTTCAAGACATCTCTGGCTGGATCTCACCAGAAGGAGAGCAATTCGGACCCAGAAAACAGCAACACAGTTCCCTGAGTTCAGGTGAGTATTACTCCTACCTCCAGACATTACAGCACTCACATGTAACCAAGCAGCCCACCTCAAGGCAAGGCAGTTCAGTCCAATGAGCAGGTACTCTGGGGTCGGGCAGACCCAGAGTTAAATCCCAACTCCATCACTACTTTCTGGCTTTATGACCTTGTGTAAGTCACAGCCTTCTGTAAACCTCAGTGTCCCCATCTATATGATACTAGGACCTATATTTCACATGGCTGTTGTGATGACTGAATGAGATGACGGATATCAGCAAGCACCAGGCATAATTTATGTCAATTATCAGCATGAGGAGCACCAGAGAAAAATCAGTGGAATGGAAATAGTCAGCTGCCCTGCATAAGTCAATTGATTATCTGAGTGAGGAAGAAGGTCCAGACCAGAGGTCAATGAAAAGGCATGAAACAAGAACAAAGCAGAAACTGGGCACTTTCCATGTCCCAGGAGTGCCAGAAGACTTACAGGAGAGACTAGGGTCATGCAGTACACTGCCCATCAGGGACAATCCTGGAATTAGCCAATCCCTGGTTCTAAACCTCACCAACGAAATTTCTCTAACAAAAGACAGGGACCTGGAGCAATACTCTAGGGTCTCATGTACTTCTGTGCCTCTGACCTGCTCACTTCAGGGTTCTACAAGTACCAGGTCTTGGAATCTCTGCCATATCCTCTGTACCAGGTACAGAGCAGGCTACATTCTATTAAGCACTTCTGGAGAGGTCTAGAGCAGAAACTGGYTTCTGACCAGGCTCAGACAGATCCTCTCTGAGCTGGAGAATACTACCTAAACACTTTAATCCTCAGACCTGCAATGACACCAACTGAACAAAAACTCTCTCCTAGGGCTCCAAGAAGTCTAGTTCAGACTTTTCATTCCTCTCTGCTCTTTCTAAGAATAAAAAACTGTCTATCTATCCCTCATTCCCTGTTCCCAGCACAAAACCCACAGACCACAGGATTCATCAGGCCCCTTTGCTCTAGGATAGACTAATGTCCCACCCTCAGGCACTTCAAAAGTCCAAATTGCTAGATTTGAGCGACTTTTTCAAAGTTTAACTCTCAGTCCAGTATTCTGCTAGGCTTGCACGTGCCTGTGCTACAACATTTCCTGCCAAACTCCATCTGCATAAAATTAAACTCTTGACAGATCCCAAGAACTAGGGACACACCTACCAGCCCTCTGCACATTATCAGCCAGCGTGGCCACAACTCGGCCACGCTGGCTGATAATGTGTCCAGCCTCAGACCCTCCCAAGGATGTGGGAGGGCAGAGCTAAAAAGGGAGACTTTCTCAGGAAATGAGAAGACCCTATATTTTCTCACCCCACTCATTCCTCAGAGTTGCAMGTACCCGGTGTCTGAGTGATGAGCAGTCCTCCTGGCATGTGCCCAGATACCAGCACGAAACAACAATCTGAGACAGATTATGAGTTCCCCATAGGCAAGAATAGTGCCTTGGCCACCTCATCTCCCTCATTCCAGCCCCAGGCACACTTTAGGCTGAAGCCAAGCACGGATGCAGGAGATACTTAAGAAATGAACAGAGAGCAGCTATGGCTGGTCTAAACCAGTGGCAAAGTGAGCGTTCTATCAGGCATCCCACTTCAGAGCCTATGACAGGGCAGAAGAGCCTATCACAAACCTCAGTTTCAGTATGACAGCATCTCTGGGATAAGGCCTCAGCCAACTCCATCCTTGCTATGTGGCCTCAATGTCTGGGCCATAGAGTGGACATGCTTGGCACTGTGAGAATAAAAAGGTCCTAAAAGAAAAGAATTCAAAAGCCAAATATCCTGTGAACAATGAGAAGCAAAAAAGAGAAGCTGGCCCCTGAGGCACAACACCACAGTGAGAGACTGCACCCTGGATGCTTCAAGGGCAATTTAAAGCCAAAGCCAAAGGGAATCTTGGTCCATTTAACAGAGAACTAAATCTCAGATGTGTTGTCTCAGATGTGATACAAGTTGCAAATAAGCAGCAGCTGGCAAAAGCATCCTATAAATTCTCAGGTGGGCAATGGATCTGTGCAAAGTCTGGGACATTTGAGAATGTACTAAGCTACAAAGTAATGTCCATCAGTCTTGCTCTTAGAGTCCTTCAGGATCTCCTGTAAGAGGGCCGGGGCTGYTGGGTCCCCATGAAGAAGCACAAGCCTTAAGTGTGTTATTCTGTAGTAAAAGACAAGTCTGTCTTGGGAACAACTCTAATGCTCTCCTGAGCAACTTCAGTGTGTCAGATTAGAACACAGAAGCCAAGGGCCCACCCTTTCTGCTCAGCAACAGCTAAGACAGGAAGTGCCCTGATCTGTACTCATGTTGCAAGGGTATCCTGGGCACCTAACCCATGCAGGGCACAGTACCTGGCACTGTCCTCTCACTCTAGGCTTTTGTAAATGGAGTCCACAAGCAGCTATTTCCTCAAGTGCCCTTTCCCCATCACCTTGCTTCCACTAGAGTACCACAAGAATGCCGGTGGCCCAAGGCAGCTCCCACTCACACAGGCTTTTCTTCTATCCAGATTACCCTTTTGCCACACTCCATCTGCTCTGAGTCACCTCCTCAAGGAAGTCTTCTGGCTTGGGGCATCCTGAGTACCCACAGTCCACCTTCCTGCCAGCACAGCACTTACCATACTGGGCCTGGACTTTTCCCGCTCTTCCAGTCGTCTGCCCCCTTGGGCTAGCAACTCCTGGCAGCTTCTGGCGCACAGAAGGGTCGTTGGTTGAATTAGTTAGCTAATTACCTCAGGTCTCCGTAACTGCTGGGGAAAAAAAAATTATATATACAAACAGATTCCACAGAGATGTCAGAAGGGGAAAGAAGACTTTTTGATCCAACCGATCTAATTAACTGCTCATCTAATTAACAGCACCAAGCTGATCCGGCCCGGCTTAGGAGSGAGGAGAGTGGGCCTCCCCAACACGAAGCAGCCCCTCCCAGGCAGCCGACGCCCCTGTCCCTGCCTCCAACCACTGGCAGCCCCCGGGGTCAGGCCACCCCTTCTCAGGGAGCATGACAGGGCAGGGCGGCCAAGTGCCCCGCCCCGCCCCGCCAGCCGCCGAGGGGACCGGCAGGAAGGGCGCCGCTGACCTCACCACCGTGATCTCGGGAAGGGACGCTGGCGGGCAGGGAACCCGGGCGGGTGCAGAAACAAGGCGGAGGGCGCGGGGCTGCGGGCGTCGCTGGCGCAGCGGGCGGCGCGACCCGGGTCTTCAGCCCCTGAGTCCGGCTCTGCGCTGACAGAACCCATCTCCCAAAGACCCCAGCCCGCAGCCGAGAACGAGCCCAACAGCTGATCCCGCAGGCGGCGCGCTCACCTGGACACGCGCCGCTCCCGGCGTTTCCAGAACCTCCTGCGGCGTCGCCCGGCCCGCTCGGCACCTCCTCCCTCCGAGGCTCCGCCTCCTGCCGCGGTCGGGCTCCGCCCTCTTGAGCCTCGGCCACGTCCCCACCTCCCGCCCCCGAGGCCAGGCGCGCCGGGTCCGCGGCCCCCGGCCCTGGATCTTCGCCTGAGGGCGCCACCGCCGGGGAGGCCCCGGCCGCCTGACTGCGCGGTAGCGGGAGCTGGCCTAGCGCCAGGATGGAGCGGGCCGCCCAGCGCCCTTCATGCCGCCCGCAGCTCGCTGCACGTATACCGCTCCTGCCTCCCCTCGGCGGGCTCCCACCTGTGGGACTCGGCCTGTGCCCCTCTGCAGCACTTGGGCGCCTCCAGAAGGGGCGACGACCCCATCCTTGCATCGGGGATGTCCGGGGAGCATCCCTGGGAGCTCGGCGGACTCCCTGGCTTCAGCTCATCCCCCTTTGCTCAGTTACCCTGCGGAGTACAGGACCCCGTTTGTCTTTTCTATCCCGGTGAGAGTTGGATGTCACGAAAGAGGACAACCAGTGAAGAAGACTTTGAGGAAGGCTAGGAACCGGGGACTAGCTCCTAGAGGGATTTGGACCCCTGACTCAGGCACTCCTGGCTATATGGGTGGGAGTGGTGGAGTGATAGGAAAGGAGCCCTCCAAAGACAGGGGTGGGGAGGGAATGGGAGGYGCAGCCGAGTCACAGCCTGGAGCACCCATGGTTTGTTTGCCCAAGCTCTGCCTTATCAAGCCAAAAGATTAGACACTGCACTGTGCCAGTCCAGCCTGGGAGCGAATGATGTTGGATGCAGCAATCTTCAGCCTGCTCTGGGGGACTCCTGGCGGCCAAGCAGGTTCCCACGCCTGCTCCATGAACCTGCCTCCTCATGAATGAGGAGAAACAAGGTCTGAGAATCTCATCAGGGAGGAGAGCCCAGAACCGGAGATGCCCAGCCTCCACCCAGGCCCAGTGTGAATATTCCCTATGGCGCACTGACCAGGCAGACAGTGCAGACCTGGGAAAGACAGCCACACAGAAATACAACCCACAAAATAAAGAGAGCCACTGTTCCTGCCTGTGTCAGCCACCAGCCAAAGCTCAGCTAAAACCAAACAGAAACCTTTCTACATCTGCTACATCCGTTATGTTACAGAAACTTCCCTGTACCTTCTGCATCTTCCCATCCCTTCTCAGGAGCTTGCCCTCTTCTCTCTCCTGAATGTCCAACTTCCTCCTATCAACTGGCTCTTTCCCATTGACCTATAAATATATTCAAGCCTCTCCTATAGAAACAAAGCCCTCCTCCAACCCTTCAAACTAGTGGGTGTCKATCTCTTCAGCCCCAGGAGGAAAGAGCTATCTCCTTGTCCTCACCTCCATCCCACCACCTCAGGCCTCACACTCAACCTTCTGGCCCCCTAACACCAAACTAGATCTCAATGCATTCTAACCTCCAGATCTCTAAATGCAACAGCCTTACTTCAATCCTTATCTGCCAAGTCCTGGATCAGCATTTGACACCCCTACTGCCTCCTTGGAACACTTCGGTCCCTTGTTTTCCCTCCATACTCTCTTATCACATCTGTCCAGGCTTCTTCCAGCATTCCTCTCTCCCTCTCATCATCCAAGTAAAGGTTGGGGATTCCTGACAGCTCAGGCCTAGGCTCTCTACTTTCCTCTCCTTTTTCCATGTTTTTTTTTTTTTCCTGCACATAGATGACTCATAAATTACTCTTTTTACCTTTCCTTACTTCTGAGCTTTAGACTTACAAAACTGACCAGTCTACATCCCCACTTGAATGTCCACACACACCTCAGTGGCAACACGTTCAACACTGAGTTCTTTTTCCCCTTCCCTTTCCCCCTCTCCACACATCCCATATTCCCTAGTGTGCTGAARAAGATCCTGCCCATCAAAAGTCTAGGAATCACATTTGTCCACCTCCCTCTCCCTTGCCCCCAGACACCATCTATCCATGCCCTAAGTCTGTTCAATTCTACCACCTAAATCTCTCCAGTCCAACGTTTCCTTTCATCCTCTTTCACTTGAGTGATTGCAACACTTTTTTCCTGGATGGCTGCCCCTCCATTTCTGTTCCCTCCCATCTCTCCTCCACACTATTTATCTCTATGATCTCAAAATGCCGATCTGTGCTCATTGCTTTGCTTGTAGATAAAGAAATTGTGCTGCTCTAAAGGAAAACCCTGGAAGTGGTCTATAAGGCCTCACACAGATTGGCCCTTGCTCATTTYTCTAACCACACTGATCATCCTCCTGTTTCTCTAACTAGCCATTCCCCCTTCCCMCTTCCCTGGGTCTTCACACATGCTGTTCTTTCTGTCTTGAACCTACACTCCCTGATTAAATCCTTCAAAATTCTTCAGATTCCTTCAGGCAGAGGATTTTCTTTATTTCCCTGTCCAGGCCCAAACCTTCCATAACCGCCCCTCATGGCCCTCTGCTTTATAATATTTGCTGCAGTTGAAAATTGAATGATTACTAATAAAGGTCTTCTTTCACTGAACTAGGAGCTCCAGGAATACATAAATTACTTGTGTATTTTTCTGTCACYATATTCTAAGCACCAACCACAGAAATGGACTCAATTTATTTACTGACTGTATGAAGGGATGTGCCTTAGTCAACTTTTTTGCTGCTGTGACCAAAAGAACTGAAAAAGGCAATTTTAGAAGTGGAAATGATTATTTGGGGGCTTACAGTTTCAGAGGTCTTAGTCAATAGACTCCATTGCTCTGTGCCCAAGGTATGGCAGGACATCATGGCAGAAGAGTGTGGCAGAAGAAAGCAGCTCAGGACATCACACCAGGAAGCAGAGAGGAGATTAAGTTCAGCTCACAAAATATATAACCCAAAATCACACTCCCTAATGATCCACCTCCTCTAGCCATACCCTACTTGCCTACAGTTACCATCCAGTTAATCCCCACTGAGGGACTAATGGATTTATTTAATTAAAAACTCTCATAGCCTAATCATTTCACTTTCTTGMATTGTCTTACATGTGAGCTTTTGGGGGACACTTAATATCTAAACCATAATAGGAAGGAAATCTCCTATATCCTACACAGTAGGTTTTAGTAACCAAAGATATAAGTAAGGTTTCCACAGGATCTCAGAGTCATTCATTGGTCAATATCCTCTGAGGAATCTGAGCCCCTGAGAAGTAGCAGGAATTGCTGAGGGTCTTCTCCTTAGTCTCCAGTACTCCCTGCCTTATAGGAGATGACTGTTTATTCATCATGTATTTGTGTCCCTCTACTTATCTGCAGAAGATGCTATCTCTGATCTTGGCCTTTGTGGCCCCATTTCCTCCACCTAGCCCTCAGCAGAAGGCCCTTGGACTCCATTACAGGCCTCTGATGTATTCATTCCCTAGGAAAGTTGTATCAAATTACTACAAACTACAGAAATTAATTCCATAGTTCTGGAGGTCTGAAATCTGAGATCAAGGACCAATCTCCCTCTGAAGGTTAGCATGGAGAATCCTTCCTTGCCTCTTTCAGCTTCTRGTAGCTTTGAGTGTTCCTTGGCTTACTACTGCAAACACWAATCACATGCTTTCTCCTCAGCATCTGCATCTTCTTTTCAGTTTCTTTTAAAGATGCTTGTCATTGGACATAGAGTCTATGCAGGTAATCCAAGATGATCTCACCTTATGACCTATAACTTGATTTTATCTGAAAAGACCCTTTTTATCAAATAAGATCACATTCACAGATTCCAAGTGTTAGGAAAGTGCCTTTACCGCTCTGTGACTGGCCACCTTATGTTTTTCACTGCAGGCTTGAACTTAGGCCTGGGCCTTGAACATTCCCAGGCACTGGGATAAAGATATTTAAATAGTTTCCCCAAAATACTGAAAGAAACTGGCCCTAGTCCTGAGCCAAATTCTTCAACCCTTCATTGAAACTCCATATCCTGAACCCTTTGCTACAAACACACCTAGGTACAAAATCCCTTGGCTCACTGTCCACCATGAATATATGCCTGCAGCCCCTTCTGTGTGTAAGTCCCCTTAATAAATGCTTTGAACTAATCACCTGGGTAACTGATGCTTCTTTCTTCAAAATCCCAATAGGCACCAGGCACAGTGGCACACGCCTGTAATTGCAGCAACTCAAGGGGCTGAGGCAGGAGGATCACAAGTTTGAGGCCAGCCTCAGAAACTTAATGAGATTCTATCTCAAAATAATAAATAAAAAGGACTTGGATATAGCTCATTTCCATATATAAAACTTCTCATAGGTATTCCACTGCCCCAAGGATAGACACACATCTCATCAAGGTTACCGATTACTTTAGTCATCCCTGATGGCCTTTCTTAACATGTGCAGCCTCAAATTTGATGTTCCAGCCACTCTGGCTATTTATGCTGTTTCCCAGCCTTTAAATGTGCCATTCCTCTTGTTTGGAACACCCCTTCCTAAAAGGCTGTTTCTTTGTCTCTTTCATATACCTTCTAGGGACTCAGCTTGATTCAGGTTCTGCCATGAGGCAGATGGCTCTTCATGGATGAGTCTCATGCATATTACCTGACATCATCCAATGTGTCCTTCCTTTACCATTTTGCYTTTGTCTTGTTGCTTACTGGGTCTCCAGATCTAGCATAGAGCTGGCATCAAGGGCATAGATGAGAAGAAGCGAACAAAAATATAGGAATGCTGGCTGGGGTTGTGGCTCAGTGGTAGAATGCTTGCCTTGCACGTGTGAGACAYTGGGTTTGATCCTCAGCACCACATAAAAATAAAGATATTGTGTCCATCTAYAACTTATAATCTATTTTTTTAAAAGCCTCCCAGATAAAAATTCTGATAAATTCAAATAGAGTCTACATGCTATCTGGCAGATTCTCATGTAAGAGGACTTTTATATATATATGAGTGCATGGACACCTGTTCAACCCCAGGGCTGAAAATACCCCAAGCATACTATTTACTGATTTCAAAGAAAGAACGTGGAGTACTCAAACAGAAAGGTTTGGGACATTTCATTATTCACATCCTCCTT